GTTACTGAAAAAGTCACATTTGATCTCAAACTTTAGATCAACATAGGTTTTTGCACTGGTAATTCCCTGCACAAAATGTTCTTCTTCTCCAAATATCTGTGGAATTAACTTTCTCACCCTTTAATGTCACCTTCTTAATGTCACTCAACTACCATATCCCCCAATCGTGCTATTTTTAATTAGCACTAATTAGTAATTATTTACTAATTAGTAATTAATACTAATCTATATTAAAGTACGCTATATAGTATCTTAGATAATAAAAAGCAGGGATGTCTCTTTGCTCACTGATGAATATTAAGGTCCTATAACAATTTGCACCCTGTGCTCAGTATTTAGAGTGAGTATTCTAATGTTTCTATTAGAAAATATTTGAAATTCCAGACAACTAAACATAAATTTTAGAAGATAGTTAAGGTCTTTGAAAAAAAATTAACTGATGCCAACTAAAATGACCAAAACAGAGCAACGTATTAAATTCAGCACTGTTCAATGCTTAGGGAGAGAGAAATGCAGGCAGTGGTAGTTAGGAAAGCCTTTTAAAAAACTGTTCTTCTCCAGGTATCTGCAGAACTAACTTTCTCACCCTTTCAATGTCACCTTCTTAATGTCAAATTTATTATGTTTTTTAAATGTTTTTTAATTTTTTTTTTTTCCCAAGAGACAGGGTTTCATCATCTTGGCCAGGCTGGTCTCAAACTCCTGACCTCGTGATCCACCCGCCTTGGCCTCTCAAAGTACTGGGATTACAGGCGTGACCCACCGCGCCTGGCTCTTAATGTCAAATTTAAATAGAATCTTCAAATAGATGGTTTAAATGTAGATGAACCATAATGAATAGCAGAATCCAAGAAAAGGCAAAGGTGTTAGGGAAGACAAAAAGTGCCTAAGAAGATGGAACTGACCAGAGCGAAAGATTCGCATTGCAAGTGTGAAAAATAAACCTACATAGGTGTTCTACAAGCATTTATTTCCTCCCTTAAGTGCAAGAATTTGTGCAATAATCTTTCAAAACATGTAAACCCCTTACTGACACAATCCTAATGAAGGAGAAATTATCTCTCACATTCCAGATAAAAACATGCAAGCTCTGAAAAGCTCAAATCCCAGAGCCAAATGGAGGCTGAAGTCAGACTCTGGCTTGAATGACTTAAAAGCCAAGCCCTTTCCACCATTACATAGCTTCATAACAGACACATGCAAGGGTACAAAGAACAGATTCAAGGGCAAGAAGTGGTACAAAAGCAAGTATCAGACAAGCTGCTCACCAAAGGCTCTTAAGTCTGGGAATACGGTGAGGGGCAAAAATGTCACTCCAAAGATTAATCTGGCAATATACAAGGTGGATTAGAGAAAGAGGCTGGAGGCAAAAAAAAAACATTGATTGCTTCCATGATGAACCATATAACTTAGCTCTTTTTAAGTACAGCATTCATGGCCGGGCACAGTGGCTCACTGTAATCCCAGCACTTTGAGAAGCAGGTGGATCATGTGAGGTCAGGAGTTCAAGACCAGCCTGGCCAACATGGTGAAACCCCATCACTACTAAAAACACAAAAATTAGCTTGGCATGGTGGATGGTGCCTGTAATCCCAGCTACTCAGGGGGCTGAGGCAGGAGAATTGCTTGAACCCGGGAGGCAGAGGGTTAACGTCTTAACCAGTCAGCCTCCTTCCAGTGAGCTGAGATTGCACCACTGCACTCCAGCCTGGGCTACAGAGGAAAACCCCATCTCAAAATAAAGTACTGCATTATTGGCCGAGCGCAGCAGTTCGTGCCTGTAATCCCAGCTCTTTGGAAGGCTGAGCCGAGCGGATCATTTGAGGTCGGGAGTTCAAGACCAGTCTGGCCAACACAATGAAACCCCATCTCCACTAAAAAAAAAATACCAAAATTGGCCGGGCGCGGTGGCTCAAGCCTGTAAACCCAGCACTTTGGGAGGCCGAGGCGGGTGGATCACGAGGTCAAGAGATCGAGACCATCCTGGTCAACATGGTGAAACCCCGTCTCTACTAAAAATACAAAAAATTAGCTAGGCATGGTGGTGCATGCCTGTAATCCCAGCTACTCAGGAGGCTGAGGCAGGAGAATTGCCTGAACCCAGGAGGCGGAGGTTGCGGTGAGCCGAGATCGCGCCATTGCACTCCAGCCTGGGTAAAATGAAGTAAAATCCAACTAAAAAAAAAAAAAAAAAAAAACCAAAATTAACCAAGCATGGTGGCATATGCCTGTAATCCCAGCTATTCAGGGAGTTGAGGCAGGAGAATCCCTTGAACCTGGGAGATGGAGGGTGAAGTGAGCCATGGTCGTGCCACTGCACTCCAGCCTGGGTGAGAGCAAGACGTCTCAAAAAACAAAAATAAAAAATATAGGTCAGTCACAGTGGCTTATGCCTGTAATCCTAGCACTTTGGGAGGCCAAGATGGGTGCATCACCTGAGGTCAGGAGTTCAAGACCGGCCTGGCCATCATGGTGAAACCCCGTCTTAAATTAAAAAAAAAAAATATATATATATATATATACACACACACACACACACACACACACATACACACACACACACATATATATATAAACTCCACATTCTCTACTAGTTTCACAAGTCACTTAACTTTCCAGTGCTTTAAGGATACTTCTATTACAAGCCCAACTGTACTGCACTAAGCTTAGGAGATCCCTGATTGTCCATAATTGATCAATTAACTGAAATTACACCAGTAAACAAAAATGCCAGATGTCTGCCTACATATAATATTTATAAATCTGAATCTTATTTCACATATGGATGGAAGTTAAAGTCTTAACCGGTCAGCCTCTTTCCAGTGTTTCTCCCTCCATTTTACCCTAAAGAAGAGTACTCAATCAACTGTTAATGCGTATTCATAATGTGAAGTTTCCAGTATCAGAATCCAACTGGTTTATTAACTGTAATAAAGCCAAACTTCTATCTTCCATATGCCTCCTTCTGTCATCTCATCTAACCTTCTATTGTGTCCAAAAGCATATAATTATGCCAGTCTCCTCATGGTACCACAAACAGAGTAACATACACTACCATGGAAATGTTTATTTTCCAAACTGGATACCTTTTTCCATTCTCTCATTTAAATCTGACAGCCCATCAAGGCCCAGCTCAAAAGCTATTATTCTCCACAAAGTCCATTATACAAACCATACGAGACTTAAAACAGATTCCAAAATAGTGACTGATAAGCCACATGTGACTTGTGTTTGACTCATTTTTTTTTTCAGTAAAATTCCATTCCACTGACAATATTTATAAACTTGGAGATGATGCTTTTTTAAAAATGGTATTTCCAACTTTTTTTGAAAAAATTAGATGTTCTAGCAAAACTGGGATCATATTCTCACATAGCCACAATCACCTGTAGCTGAGTGGCAGGTGACCCCCTTCTACGGGGTAATTACTCATTAACTGCCTGATCTGAGACCATACCTTCAGCACCTGAAATCACTCAAGAAATACCCGTCTTACGAGCCAAGAACTGTATTAGATACTGGAGTTATCAAACAGTCCCTCACCCACAGCCTCGCTTAGGGATGGCATAGAAACAAGCAATTAGGAAACGTGATAAACGCCGTGAGGGACGTGCAGGGCAGCTACGAGTATGTGGCAAGGATATCTAACTCTATGGAAGTTAGGGAATACCCCTCAAGTAAAGTGACAGCTAAATTCGGATCTTTAGTAGAAGTTATCCAGAAAAAGGCAGGAGGGAACAGGGAGTTCAAATGTCCCAAAGAGAGATAAGAGACTTTGTGAAGATACTGAGGGAAGAAAGTCCTTGAGGAACTGAAATCAGTTCAACACGGCTAGAGCCATGCCCAACTTTAAATGCAGGGTCAGAGAAAGGGTACAACTGAAATGGCTGGCAGGAAAAGTACGTGTTATTAATAGTTAAGGTTAGGAGATGAAAGAGAATTTCACCAAAGCAGTTGAATATGTAAAATAGTTTAGGCAGGAAATACAGGTTTCAGAAGGAACTGATGGCGGGTGTTGGGGCATTAAATGGGTAAGAAATGAAAAAGCAGTGATGGCCTAAGTCGAGAGGAAACACAAAGCAGATGGGAGGAGACGACTGCACAGAAGACCAAAGGAGCTTACATCTTGGGCGGTAACCAAAGATAACAGGAATGTGAAGCATGGTAAGTCTGGCTGGCCACTAGTTTGCTGAGAGAATTCGTCCAGCGGTCCCCTATCGGCCACGGAGGCATTCAGGCCTAACAAAATTCAGCTGCGCCCTGGATGGATTGCACTTCCGTCTCTCCAGAAGATCTCGACTTCACTCTGGATTGGAGGGCTCCAGGAGAGGCTACTAGCACGCAGTCTCCCAGGGAGTGGTTAGAGGCCTGGTCTGTGTGTGCTGTCGGGTAGAAGTATAAACTACCTTGCATTATGTTCTGATTTTTCTGTAGGACTGGTGGGCATGTAATGGCCTCTTAAAGAAAAAGCAGTGAGTGCCCATTATAGATTTACAGGAAAAGAAAAGGTGCCATGAAGTTCCAACATTTGTCCATACCCATACTAAAGACGAGTTACTCTGTGAATCCAACTCTCCCCAAGTTGGCCTTGTCTCCCCAACTAGACTGAGAGCTCCACCAGAGAACAAAACAAAAGTCTGTTTTTCAATTTGTTTTGTAGTTCCCAAAGTGCCTAATAGCGAGCTGGGTACCGCGAACACCCTCAGTAAAATTACCGACTCGCTGAATGGTCTCGGGTCACTAAAGTTACCTAGCTCAGTCTTCTCTTTGCATATTAAGGTGCTACAGAGAGGCGAACTTAACCTTAGACTCAACACTTTCCTTTATTCCAAACTCCACTGCCTCTCTCCACCCTCAACCGCATGGGCAGAATTGTTGCACAATTCAAAGGCAATAGGAGAATCCAGGACCCGACACAGAAAACGCCCGCCCGCGCCCCCCGCGTGTAGCAGCCCGCACGCGCTTCCCATCCATCGCTGGAAAAGGTAAAAGGCGCTCACCGACTCGGGCCCTCCGGGAGACCCCGTAAACGTAGTCACCCGCCCGCCGCCGCAATCCCTGGGTAGGCACTTCCGGCGCTCACAATGACGTCACCGAAACGCTAAGCTCTTGGCCCGCCTTCGGGGCCGGAATCTCCAACAAGCGGGAAGAGGCCCAGCGGCTGCTACCTTCTCGTTTCCGCGCTTGACCCCTCCCAGGACTCGTGATGCCTAGGCCGCTGCGAGTGGCTACCAAGAGTCGGGGTTGAGCCCCAGCTGAGCCGAGGGCTCGCACTCTTCTGGTCTGCCAGGCCCGCCCCACCTAAAGGTAAACGCCTCCAGCTTCGGTTTTCTCCCTTGCGGGGCCCCTTCCCCAGACTCGGCTACCAAAACGCTCTGCTCTCTCCCGCCACCCTTTTTATTTCCAGGACCTTAACTTCTGCCTGCCTTCACAGCTCTCAGCAAAACGTCCAACGCGTAGTTTCAAAGGAGAAACTTTTCAAAAGCGACCTATGTTGAGTTTTGAAGTTTTCTAAATAATTCCCCCCAAAACACCAAACATCAAGCAGTTTTCTTATTCCATCGCGAATTGGCATGCCTGAGACAATATTTTTCCATTTATGATGGTTCGTCTCCGCATCTCAAATACACACCACACGCTCTTTTTAAATCAGAAATTTGAATTTGATTGAGTCTGATATTTTCACGGTAATTTGCTGACCTTGTAAAATTAATTACTGATTGATTACATTTGTAAACTTTGTATACATACACACATACATACAGGTATGTCTCCTCCAGGCACCAAACCTATTTATATAAAAGTATCATTTCATAATTTGGCAATAATAAGCAAAATTAGTGTTTCGAAAGAAGTTTACATTGTCAATACGTAAAGCTTAAATATCCTCCTTAACATCATACTAAATGGGGGAAAGAAAATTTTCCTGCTAACACCACTCCAGAGAAAAAATATTAAAACAAACAAAAAAGGTACCCAACCATAGTACAGGCATGCACAGCATAACATTTTGGTTCACGACAAACCACATATACCACGGTGGTCTCCTAAGACTATAATATACTGTACCATATTTTTACTGTACCTTTTCTGTGTTTAGCTACACAAGTATTTACCATTGTATTTCAATTGCCTACATTATTCAGTACATTAACATGCTATACAGGTTGTAGTCTAGTAGCAATAGGCTAGACCATACAGGTTTGTCTAAGTACAATCTATGTTGCACTATGATATCGTGGAACACACTCAGAACATATCTCCTTCGTTAAGTGTAGCATGACTGTATTAGCAAAAATCAGTGGCTAAGGTTCTTTTGAGGCCCTAGGCTGTTTCTGACCTGGGTGTGCAAGGTGAAGGTATTGAACATATACAATACATATTCATTCGATCATTTTTTTTTCTCATAGCCTGAGGGGAGGTTAGGACTGGCTTCAGGGTTTTTCCATCATCTATTTAAAACCCCTCTCTTGTCCAGCACTGAAAGAATACTTGAAAGAAGAAGAACCAGGCCGGGCACGGTGGCTCAAGCCTGTAATCCCTGCACTTTGGGAGGCCGAGGCGGGTGGATCACGAGGTCAAGAGATCGAGACCATCCTGGTCAACATGGTGAAACCCCGTGTCTACTAACAAAAAAATACAAAAAATTAGCTGGGCATGGTGGCACGTGCCTGTAATCCCAGCTACTCAGGAGGCTGAGGCAGGAGAATTGCCTGAACCCAGGAGGCAAAGGTTGCGGCGAGCCAAGATCGCGCCATTGCACTCCAGCCTGGGTAACAAGAGCGAAACTCCGTCTCAAAAAAAAAAAAGAAGAACCAAAAAAGATTTTTTTTTTTTTAAGTGGTGACTGGGGAAAAGGTATTCCTTAATTCAGACTGCTGGAGTTATTGCTCCTAACTTCCTAAAATGTAAGGAAGGTAGGTTGGGCGCAGTGGCTCACCCTGTAATCCCAGCATCTTGGGAGGCCGAGGCGGGTGAATCACGAGGTCAAGAGATCAAGACCATCCTGGCCAACATGGTGAAACCCCATCCCTACTAAAAATACATGAAATTAGCTGGGCATGTTGGCGAATGCCTGTAATCCCAGCTGCTCAGGAGGCTGAGGCAGGAGAATCACTTGAACCTGGGAGGCGGAGGCTGCAGTGAGCCAAGAATGTGCCATTGCACTCTAGCCTGGGCAACAAGAGCAAAACTCCATCTCAAAAAACAAAAAAAAAAAACAAACAAACTTAGCAACATCTTCAAGAACAAAGGCAAAAGAAAAAAGAAGGTATACAAATCTGGCATAATTAAATCAGTAATTATTAATACGGTATTGGGTTTTTTGTTTTTTTGTTTTTTTCAAAATAATGCCCAGACTGGTCTGATGTATTGGTTTTATTTGGAATTAAGAATACCTGGTTTAGGCCAGGTGTAGTGGCTTACACCTGTAATCCCAGCACTTTGGGAAGCTGAGGTGTGTGGATTACTTGAGGTCAGGAGTTCAAGACCAGCCTGACCAACATGATAAAACCCCATCTCTACTAAACATACAAAATTAGCTGGGCATGGTGGTGCATGCCTGTAATCCCAGCTACTTGGGAGGCTGAGGCAAGAGAATTGCTTGAACCCAGATAGCAGAGGTTGCAGTAAGCTGAGATCGCTCCATTGCATTCCAGCTGGGGCAACAAAAAAAAAACTGTTAAAAAAAAAAAAAAAAAAAAAAAAAAAAAAAATCTTGGTTTAGCTTGATTGATGATAGGTTTATTTTCACTTTTAGAAATGAGTGGTGGATTGGCTCCAAGTAAGAGCACAGTGTATGTATCCAACTTGCCTTTTTCCCTGACAAACAATGACTTGTACCGGGTAAGTAAATCTTATCTAGTGACTGCTATTTGAGATACAGATAACCTTAAACTAATAGTTCTCCAAGGCCAAATGCTTTTTTTCTTTTCTTTTTTTTTATTCTGTCACCCAGGTTGGGACGCAGTGACCCTATCAAGGCTTACTGCAGCCTCCCCACCCCTCAGGTGATCCTCCCACCTTAGCTCCCTGAGCAGCTGGGACTATAGGCGTGTGCCACCATGTCTCTACAAGCTGCCTGGGAAAGTAAGGTTGGAAGATTGCTTGAGCCTAGGAGGTCAACGCTACAGCGAGCCAAGATCATACCACTGCACTCTAGCCTCAGTGACAGAATGAGACCGTGTCTCAAAAAAAAATAAAAGAAAAAAAAGAGGCTGGATTTATTGAATATTTATTATGTGCTGAACATTCTTGCAGGTAGTAGAGACATATCGGTGAACGGCTGGGTGTGGTGGCTCACGCCTGTAATCCAAGCACTTTGGAGGCCAAGGCGGGTGGATCACCTGAGGTCGGGAGTTCAAGACCACCCTGACCAACATGATGAAACCCTGTCTTTAAAAAAAAGAAAAAAAAAAAAGAGTACTAAATCATTTTTAGAAGGTTACATTTAAGAATATTAAAGAATATATGTTCAGATATGCTTAAGATATTAGTTTTGTCTTATTCCCCCAAGTCATCAGGAAAATTGTTCTATGGATA